AAGGCTAATGCCCAAAGTAGAATTTCTAAGTTTCCAAGGAACTTTTTGACAAGAATAAATGTGAACGAACAAACCCAACGAGTTTAAATTGGATTGTACTCCTTCAAAACCAATATACAACAACTCCGAAGACTCCCAAAATGAAAATAAAGATATTAAACACACCTTCCAATAGATTGAAACACCCAAGTGTTACAACTTCCCCACCTTAGGAAATTTCTCCCTCGAAATAATATCCATCCTTACCATGATAACAAGGTTTGGCAACAATATCATATTTATTCAATCCTCAACAAACTCATAACCAAGCAAAATATATGTATCAATTTGACTCCAAGACAAGGAAATAATAGAAGGTTTTGGCTCATGCCCAATTCATCAAGTACAAAGAAGGAACAACAAAACAAATACATCATAATTTAGAAAATAAGTCGGGGTATTTCTCGTGAATCTCCGCTTCACGTTCCCATGTAGCTTCCTCCACACCATGATGGCGCCATAACACTTTAACTAAGGGAATTGTTTTACCCCTCAAAACTTTCTCTCTAGTAAGTAAGATTTGGAGTGGTTTTTCTTCATAAGACACATTTTTGTCTATCTTAATCTCTGTCCAATCTAACACATGAGAGGGATCGGGTTCGTACTTGCAAAGCATAGATACGTGAAACATATTGTGGACCCCGGAGAGTTGTGGCAACAATGCAAGGTGATATACAACTTCTCCAATCCGCTTAATGATATCAAAGGGGCCGATGAATCTAGGTGATAGCTTTCCACTCTCGCCAAATCTCATTAACCCTCTTCTAGGAGATATCTTCACAAAGACATTGTCACCAACTTCAAAGGATAAGGGTCATTTTCTTCTATCTGCGTAGCTCTTTTGCCAGCTTTGAGCAGTAACTAACCTTTTCCGAATGAGGGCTATTTTCTCAGTAGTTTCACGAACTAGATCTGAGCCTAGCAAGGGTGAATCTCCCACTTCAATCCAATATACCGGTGATCTACACGGATGCCCATACAATGCCTTGAAAGGTGCCATCTCGATGCTTGCTTGGTAACTACTGTTATAAGCAAATTCAACTAAAGGTAGGTGTTTCTCCCAAGACCCTTTAAAATCTAGTACACATGCCCTCAAGAATTGAATACAACACAAGATTTAAGGAAAACAAATAACCCCCAAGCCACAATTCTTTTACTATATCAACATCCACATCCTTCATCTATTTATTATTCACAATATTTCATGAATCAAGGAAATTCCCTTTTCAATGTGGTGTTTTCAACTCAAATGGAGAATCTAAGGTTTTACCAAATTTGGGTGTTTTTCTCCTCTATTATAGATATGGTTTGTAACAACATTTATACACATGTTTTGAAAAGAGAAAGTAAAGGAATCTCAAGCAAGAGTCAAGTAATATGGTTTATTTATGTAAAACATAAGATTAACCCAACAATATCCTCCAATTAACTCATAAATCACAACCATACCATGAAATCCCTCCAAAACAAAGAAATACTAAGGTAAAAGTATCCCTACCTCAAGTCGTGAGGAAGAAAACCCAAAAAACTCAAGGTTGACGAAGCCACGAACTTCTCGGACCAATAAAAAGCCCTTGACAAGATCTTCAAGTTATCTCAAAGGATCAAGGTGAGAAGACACCTCTAAGAGTATAGATCTAAGCATTGAAGTGGAAAAAGTGAGCTTTTGAGAGAAAGAGAGAGAGACTCTCGGTTTTGAGAGGAAAAAAAAGAAGAAAATTATGAGAGAGGTGTTGTTTGGGTGAGAAATTAATCTACCCTCCCATATTGACTTCACAAATCAACGAATCTAAAATTGATGACTTAATCAATGATTAGTTTCAGTTATCCCTAATCCACATGCAGTGTCTACAACAAGCACGGCTATCCTCCACCGATAGCCCAAAACAGTTATTTCTAAACTGAAAATAACTATATCAACAATTCAATAGACAAATGATTCAAATTATCCAACTACGCCATTTAATCAATGAATTCCCCAATTCCATGAATTTAACCATATTTTCCCAATTCCATGAATTAATTATACAAATTAATTTATTAATACAACTAGGGTTTTTCCCAAAATTACCAAAGTACCCCCAACATATCAAAATACTAAAACTTAGAACAAAACTTATAAGATGGAGTAGGAAATCCCTACCTCGAAGAAAATAACCCGAATAGAGAAGTCCGAGATGAATACCCAAATTCCAATGTGCTCCAAATCACAAAATGTTCAGGTTAAATGGAAGCCCTCGACTCACTCTATCTTTTAACAAAGGATCTAAGGTAGAAACTCACTCTAAGTATATCAATCTTAAGAGAGAAGGTGTGTAGAGGGAGAGAGAACTCGTAACTAGGGTTTTGGAATCTGAAAGTATATGAAAAACTGATCTGAAACACGCTGCTGCCTATTTAAACCTGACAGGCTCGCTTGAGCAAAGACTTGGTCGCTCGAGCGACCAGACACACGAAACACTCGCTCGAGCGAAGAAAAGCTCGCTCAATCCAAGAATGCAATGCTTCATGTCTGCAACCCTGGAGCACGCTCGAGCGACAGAATGCTCGCTCGAGCAAGGAAATCGAAAACAAACACCTCGCTCGCTCGAGCGAAGAAACTCTAGCTCGAGCGAATAAGCACTGCCCTCAGGTCTAAACCAGACGCAGTCGCTCGCTCGAGCGAAGCAAAGCTGGATCGAGCCAGAAGACACAAAAACAAACCTCGCTCGAGCGACCAAATCCTGGCTCGAGCGACCAACCCAAAAACTGGACAGCAACACTTGGTTTACGAACCCAACCAACTTGAAACAAACCTGCCCAACACATCCTACAACTCCAAATGAGGAAATAAAGGACGACAACAACAAATATACAATGACAGAATAAACGGAACCCAAGTCCGGATACAATAATCAAATGGGAAAAGACCGGGGTCGCTATACTGTAACCTTGGTTGGTTTCTCCAACTTCTTGATCTTCATAGAATTTGAGAAAATTATGCCTCGAAAATCACCTGTCACGAAAAAAGCCAAATCTAAATAGTTTAAAAAGAGACCAGAGAGCAGAAAAATACTAAAAAAGGAACAAACACATGTTCTCATATATATATATATATATATATGTGTGTGTGTGTGTGTGTGTGTGTTTCTTTTTTCTTTACTTCCTTTTCTATCGAACAGACAACATGGATGTCTCAACAACATATGCCATATCTTAGTTTAGTTAACAAATCCAAAAATGCCAAACAAAAAAAATAAATAAAAGCAAAGAAAAATAGTTATTAGGTCAACCTCAAAAGAAGAAGAAAATTATTAGGAATATCAAAAGGGATAAAAATGCTAAAACAAGAACAAAGTACAAACATATATATATATATATATATATTCCATCTATTTGTTTGTACATTTATTTTAGCATAAATTTCTTTCAAAATTTTTTTCTTTCATTAAAAAGAAGCCTATATATGAACTACCATGTACTATGCTCTGTCTGTTTTGAAGGGGAAACAAACTTCTATGAGAGGTTTTTTGAAAAATATGTTCAGTAGAAAATAGTGTCCTATATTTAGTTAGGATTCTAAAAATGATAATACTAATAGTCGTGGTAGCAGTGGCGTGAGTTGTGATAGTGGTGGTTCGAGTGGTAGCTATGGTAATGGTAGTGATAATGGTGGTTATAGTGTGGGTAGAGAGGTGATATTGGTAACTGGTGGGTCGTTAAGTACACCAAAAATAAAGTCCAAACTATACCTAAATTCGGTAGAATAATGGCAATCTAGGTATCGATCCACAAGGACTAATGTGAAATTCAACTAAATTTAATGGCAAGTTTCCTAGATTAATTTAGACGAGAACAATTGATGATAATTAAATTAAAGCGAGAATTAAAATAACAACTAGAAAATTAAAGGGTAAATTACAAATACACCCCTGGAAGTTTGCTTAAAGTATAGATTGCCCCCTGTGATTTGAAAAATTATAAATACTCTATTTTAAGAATTTTTTATTTAACAGAATTAACTAAAAAAATAAAATTCATAATTACCCTCCTATAGAATAATAAATTTACTTAAATTATTAATTAAAACATATTTGTGACATCATTAAAAACTGTTAATTGACTTGATGATTAATTAATAAAATGAGCAATTTGTTATGAAATTAGAAACCTCAGGGAATGGAATATAATGTCCAGAACCACAAGGGGCGATTCGTAGTTTGATCAAACCTCTCGGGGTGTATTTGTAATTTACTCAAAATTTTAAACTAACACTAAAGATTAAGGTTGAGAATTCGATTTGGGAAAAATCCTAGGGCAAAGAATTCACCACTAGTTGCATAAATAGGGTTTAACATCAATATCTAACTGCAATACAGTTCGAACTACTCAGTGTTTCACAATTACAAGTTTGAAACATTGATCAAAAGGATTGTTGCATTTAATGTGTAGGCACAAATCATCTTAACTAGTATAAGTCGTTTTCTCTAGACTACGGTAGTAATACGACTCGTCTCTCATAGCATGACTCGTCCCATACTTTGAGTAGTATGAAAAGTATTCAATAATTACAGAAAGTACAATACAGAAAGGGATAGAAAGATATTGAAATTAAAGCTTCAAAAACATTCATACAACTTGCTCAAACCATTTAAACGATCAAAGCCTAGTTAAAACTCTATTTACATGGCTAGGTTTTCATCAAAACCCTAAAAAGAGAAGCCTGGCCGCTCATAGAGGAGTAGAAAGATGATGAAGAAGTTGCCATGGAAGACCTCCAATCCTTCAACTCCAAAACCCTAGCCTCATTTGCCTCTTTTTTCGGAGAATTTTCGAACCTCATAACAGCCTTCTTTTCCTCATCTTATACTTTTCTAGTAAAACAGGTGACTTTAGAAAAAACGCACACAAAAATCGACGTGGCCACACATGCAAAAAAGGTCGCGCATATAGGAAAGGCTCCACACGTACCCTCTTCACGTGCGGATTATGCAGTCCGTTTTGATCTTCAAGAAGGGGGCCACACGTGTAGGAATGACCCTCCACACATGCGATGCATGCTTTTCAACTAAAATATCACTTTTTGGCTCATTTTGTACTTCAAACACATCCAACCTGATTCACATCAAATACTAGTAAAATATACAAAGTTGCATTAAGAAGAGGGTTAAGAAATCTCAATTATAAGCCTCAATCTCAATCACATTCCGCAACTTACAACTTGCTAATCATCGAGTAAGGAAAGAAAGAAAGAAAAAAAAAAAAGCAAAATCTAGTTACATCCTCTTTTGTGGAAAGAATTGCATTTAGCATATGTTTGAATGGGATAATCCTTTGTGATATGTTTAAAGTTGAACATATTGAAATATGAAGAAAAAACATTAATTGATGCAGGGAAATGCTATATTCAAGTTACGTCATTTGTGAGTTTGATTATCATAAATGGTATAACTCAATATCATGGGAGTCATTACTAAAAATAAATAAATAAATAAATAAATTGAGTTATAACCAAACATCACGTGAAGTATAACTAAACAACTCTTGGATCATATAAACAAAATAATGTCATAACTAACATTACAATGTGTAATAATTAACAACACTATAGGTCATAACAAATGACACATAAATCATAACTAAAAGTGCATATAGTACACAATACCATAAATTTTTCATGCTTAGCATTCCTCAAAAATAAAGTTAATTGGTAAAAACAAGAACTAACATTTTGCGCAATGACATTTTGTGTGTGTGTGTGTGTGTGTGTGTATCATTAGGATATGTATGCATAAACCTTTCCTCTATAGAGTTGATAATAATCTGCAATTGTTAATACCTGACAATGCTGTTAATTGTCATCGTCGTCAAAGTCATCTTTGACAAGATCGTCATCGTCATTGTCAAAGTCATCTTTGACATGATCGTCATCGTCATCGTCATTTTCAACATGATCGTCATTGTCATCATCAAAACCAAAGTCAAAGGCAAAGCCATCGTCATTGTCAAATTCATCTTGAACATTGTCATCATCAAAGTACAAGTCAAAACCAAAAAGGGCAAGTTCCTCATAGTCAACAACTCCATCATCATTGCCTATGTAGTAATTAAAGAGAAACAAATGTTAACATTTGGCAATGTTGAAGTAAAAATCAATTTGTTTGTAAAATAATGAACCTATAGCTACATCTTCTAAACTGCAAGCAATTGGCGATGGCATGAAGCATGTCTGAAGTAGTGGCGAAGCTAGAATTTTGGCTCAAGCAATAGTAAAGTAAAATGATATGTCTATAATAGTGTTACCCACCCTGCTACACTTCAACCTTAATAAACTTAACCCTCATTTTTAATCATGACATTGACTTAGACTGTAATGATCGTCTCCAAACAAAATAAACTATTTTATTGAGAAATTTCATCAAAAAAATAAATAATCATTCTACATATTTGTATATATATATTTGTCACAAAAGGGGGAAAAATACCAATAAGAACTAACTAGCAAATATTATAAAAAATAATAGAAAACAAACATTTAAAGATAGACTTTACAACATCATAAAGATAATTTCTGTCATAAAATAAACATTTGAATAGTACAAATTATAAGAATTATTTTTAAAAAAAGAGAAAAAAAAAGAGAGTATAATCAAATTTAGAGGGGGAAATTGAAAGAACTGTTTATAAACCTATACTAAAACATAGATTTTAGAAAGTTGAGGAGGGGCACGTGCCCCTCCTGGGCCCAAGCTTCCTCCGTCCCCAATGTGAAGAGAGAAATTCTATAATTCACACAATAAAAATGATGTGTATCATATGTTTAATTATTCCGTTCAAAAGAAAAAGGAAAAACTTCACTTTACCCTTTGTAGTTTGGGTTATGTGCGGTTTAACCCCCTTAATATTTAGAAATGACTGCATAACTCCCTTGTGATTTGTGGACTGAAGTGCACCGTTAGGCCCGTTAACAATTTAATAAAAAAGATTAAAATACCCTTATATTTTCTTCATTTGTTTGAAAGGTAAGTGCACTTTAACCCCTTGTGCTTTATTCCATATGCGATTTGCCACCTTGAAATTTGAAAATAAGCATATAACCTTTTTTTGTCTACCACATGTTTTACACTTGTTAAGTTGGACCGAATGTTTAATGGTTCACTTTAGTCCACAAACTACGTTGGGGTTATGTGATTATTCCAAACGTTAGGAGGTAAACCGTACATAACTCAAACCACAGAGGGCAAAGTGAAGTTTACCCAAAACAAAATGTTTAATTATGAATTTTGTGGTTCTTAGATATAATCAATAGTGATGTTTGTCATGATTTAGGTATGATTCATTATAGTGTTGGGTATGATTTAGTTATGACTAATTGTAATTGTTACTTTGGTAATGATCGAATTTTTTTTCGTTATACCTGAAATGATATTTGGTTTATGACTTATTGTGGTGTTGATTATGGCATATTGTGGTTACTATTTTAATTATGACCAATGAGGTCTTTAGTTATGTTTCAAGTGAATTTTGGTTATGACCCATTATTATTTATTTATTTTTAATTATGACTGAAAGTGATTTAATTATTATATTTGTAATATTAATACCACAATTATCACAACTTGCGTACTATAAAAATAGGTGTGTATTGTATGACCCATCTCAAGAATATTTATATACTACTAATTCTTAAATACAAAGTTCATTGTATCTCATATGCATCATTTTACGTGTTTTTTTGGTATATATTATGACAATTTGTGATAATTATTCCCTAATTTTCTAATAGATTTACGAGAGTTTGTTATTAAAAAATAAAGTTAAACATTACAAAAATGCCTAAATTTATTTTTGAATCACAAATTATTGTAATTTTATTAAAAAATTACATAATATTTACTATAAAAATATATTTAAAAAAATACTTGCACCACCTCCGGAAGGGATTTCCATTATTGTTGGACACCAATAATTATATGAACCCCACTTAACTACGCCGAATTTACCAAGAATGAGAATGTGTAGTTGAGATTGAATTTTTGTAGTGTGTGGTATATGTGTGAAATAAATCTAAACCATAAAATGATAAATCTAAATAGTTAAATCTAAATTTGTAGTATTACTGCGTTGGACACACCATGGTTGTTAGTGAGGTAGCCGTGTGGTTAGGTTTAGTACCTTATTTCACCATTTTGACTAACTAGTATTTGCCTTGTGAAAATATTTTTAGAAGTTAATTTTATTTTTCACTTTTATAATTTAACTCAAATTTTATTTTGATCCCTATATTTTAATTCCAATTTCAATTTGATTATCTCATCCAAATTTTCATTATTTTTTTCTATGTGTACATTTCAAAATCGTTAATTTTAACTTCCAACTTGAATAGAAGGACCAAACTAAAACTAGATTTAAAGTATATAGACCAAACTATTTAATTTGAAATCATAGGGACCAAAGTGGAACTTGGTTTAAACTATAAGATTTAAAAGCCTAATCTAATTACTAACTTGCTAATTTCCTAACTTTGCCAAAAATAAAATAAAATTAAATTAATAATTAAAAAATAAATAAATATTATCATTTTGCAAACTTTTTTTTTATCAGCAAAAAGTAAACTTTATTGATGAAAAAGCTATATAAAAGTGAAAAGCAAACGTCAATAAAGGGAGGAGAAGTGCAATAAGCATCATAGCTAACCACAACAATCCCAACTAGGTTAGCACTGAAGGGCTAAGTCAATCATATGCCAGCACTAATTTTCCCTAAAGTTTAACCATATTCATTAGTAATGTGAGAGATTGTGTAGAATATTATGTAAAATATTTGGGATTCTGAGAGGGAGATTTATGATCTGGCTTGGCCCGTGGTAGAAGCCGGGCAAAATGAGGGCCGAGCGTGTTTGGGCCAAGCTAACTTGGGCTTGTCCAGCAGTGGTTTTTCCCGGTCGAGGCCCAGGACCATGTTTGGACCGAGCTACTTGGGTTTGTCCATGTCCAGTGTCGGTTTTGCTCGACCAAGGATCAGCTCCCGTGTCTAGGCCGAGCTTACTTGGCCGAGATGATCGCCCACCAACCCGAGTTCCATGGTTCGCACGCTTAGCTCAGCGGGAAAGGCCTTCTGTTTGCCGACTCGACCTGTCTTGAACTCAGCTCTGCCGAAATGCTACTGAGCTCGGTTGTTATGGAGCTTGGCGAGTGAAGCACTCAGATTCGTTATGCAGCACGGTCGTGTGAGGCCGAGGTGATGCCGCCGGGCTGCCGAGTTCCCGCTAATGTTGTCTGGCGGTTCGGTTAGGTGGTGTTCGCTGGATTTTGTGCTGACAAATGGGAGAGCAGCTCCACCTGTCAAGAGACTAATGGGTGCAGAGTTTAGCGCAGAAAGTATATAAGCATGACTGCGCCCCCCATGCTGGGAAAAAACATTATTTGGTAAGATAGACTTACATTCATTGAGCTTCTCTCTCTCTCTCTGAGTGTGTGCTAACTTGACCGTCGGAGGGGTTTCCGGCAACACAACGCCGGGTAGCTCACCGCCGTTGTGTTCTCAAGTTGATCGGATAGATTCGGAGCTTGGACGAAAGGAGTATGGCCAACGATGAATATTTCCTCCCCGTACAATTGGCGCCGTCTGTGGAAATATTTTTGCAGACAAAACCTTGTCCTCTGAGCTCATCTAATCACCTCCCATGGCGAACAACGACGAAATACCGTTGTCTGCCATTGACGGTGTTACCCCGAAGTCAGCCAGACGGAGAAACGGACTCCCCGCCGTTCCAAACATGGCGGATCTGGATACTTCCCCAGGAGGACTTCTGAGAGATGCACGAGATAAGCGCTCCAGAAGTTTTGGTCACTCTCGGAGCCCAGACGGACACCGGCGGCGGAGAGAATCACATGCTCAACGTCTGGAGCACAAGTTAAGGGACCAAGATGCCGTCATCCAAAGAATGGCGTCAGAGATAGAAGTTCTCAAACGCTAGGTCAAAGGGAAGGGTGTTGCTGGAGTGGGAGACCACAGTGAGCGCACCCAACCTCGCCGTTCAGGAAGCCAGAGCCAGCGGCACACTCCCTCTCTTTCTATCACCAGAAGCTATAGGGGTAGAGACCTAGACACGCCTGTAGAGAAGTCTATAGCGCAAGATAGTACCTACCATCCCTCGCATCCGTCGACCGCTTTGGGATATTCTTGCTCCGTCCGTTCAGAGGACTTGAGGGATGTCCTGAAAGAGCAAGCTCGCCGACGGGAGGCGGAAAGGGTGCCGGCGTTCCAGCGGTTATCCTGCGGAGGTCACCATAGTGAGAAGGTTATGATGCCGCCGCCCCGTTTGGCTGTACCAGTTCCTTTGGACACCGACTTGGCAAGGCTGAACGTCTCCCCCTTCTCCCTTGAAATAGAGACCACGCCGCTCCCAGCGAGCTTTCACCAGCCCAAGTTTACACTTTATGACGGAAAAAACGATCCGTACATGCATGTAAGCCACTTCCAGCAGGTTATGGCCGGACACAGGTGACATGATGCCCTTATGTGCCTAATTTTCCCATCCAGCTTGGGCGAACTGGGCTTGAAATGGTTTGAGAGACTCCCAGAAGAGAGCATTGAAAGGTGGCAACAGTTGGCAGAAGCATTCGTGACTCGTTTGAAAACCAACACCAAAACGCCAAAGGAAGTGGACCACCTTCTAAGTGTCAAGATGGAGTCGAGTGACACCCTGAAGGCATACAACTCTAGGTATTGGGAAACCTTCAATGAGATCCTAGATTGCCCGATCAACCTGGCAATCACCCAATATAAGCGCGGTCTCCCAATTGGGCATAGGCTGAGGGACTCGCTTACAATGAACCAGCCGACATCGATGGGGCAACTAATGCAGCGCATCAATGAGCACCTCCGAGTAGAGGATGATGCGGCAGCATCCACTACGAAGATAAATCCGGTGGTAACAGACAAATGGGCGGTTGGCAAGGTGCACGCGGTTGGATAAAAGACTAACCGTCCAAGTGATCGCGCCGGGGAATCAGACCGTGGATCAAATCATCGAAACCGGGGTAGAGGTCACCACAACGACCGAGCAGAATATCCCCACGATGACGCGGCTG